CACATTTGTTTTAAGGCATTTCCCAGAAGTAACACGAACTTAAAGCTGTATATAAATGCATTTGTTGTTAAAACAACAAGGACAATACGAGAAGAAAAATGGAAGGAAATACTGTTTCCCGATTTGGAACACAAGCAGTGTAGAGAATTATTAGATACTCAATTAAGATTAACTTATTAGCTATAAGGACTCGGAGCTTAGAGCTAATCCAGCTGCCCATTTACAATGGTTCAAACAGCTTTCGTTTAGTTGTTGTTGTTGTTGTTCTCTTTTCCAAATTGAGCGACAAAAAATTCGTACATTTTTATGGTTCTAGCTAATTTTGGTTTGGCTGTTAACAAATAGTTTGTTCACTGAATATAGTGGGCTGGGGGGCGCTAGATGGCGTGGCAGGTTGCTGAGGGCGTGGCACGTGTGTGTGTTAACTTAACAGTAGGAACCAATAAGGCTAATGGACATGCTCTCCGATATGGGATCGGGCGCAGAAATCGGCTTCCAATACAACCAATTGTAGTTGACTGCGAAGAGAAAGAGAGAGCGAGGCAGTGTGTGCGTAAGATATAGATAGAAAGAGAGAGGAAGAGTTATAGGTAAGGGCGACGATACATACGCACAAAGGATTGACTGAGACGCATGGAGAGCGTACGACAGCGCTGGCGACATTCGCTGGTCGGACGCAGGATGATGAAGCGTGTGCCCACCGCCTGATGCACATAGACATTGGGGCATTCCGTATCGGGCAGCGTATACGCTGGCGCCTGTGCTGTGTCAATGGCCACATACCGTTCCAGTGCCACACTCATGCTGGGCAATCGAAGCGGCCGTGCGAAAATGGGACGCAGCAGACGGGCGGGCAGCATGCGATTGCAGCGCCACAAATTGTGAGCGGTTGACAAATGGAGAAAATTATCATGATGATGGCGATGCTGCTGATGCTGCCGCTGCTCCTGCTGATGATCGTCTTCATTATCATTGGGATCATCGTGATCATTGTGGGCGGCGCTGCTCGCATTGAACTGGCCAAAGAGATCCTCCAGATTGTGTACGCCCTGATTAGTGGAGTGAACGCGATACGCATCCCGCTGGAAGATCTTCAGGTTCTTTGCATAGATCTGGTAGAAGTCAGACAGATCGAAGGTATGCTGATTGCTGCGAAATGTATATGGCATGTGCTCCATGGGTCGGCGGCAATGTTGCATCAGCGTCAGCTGCTTGTACTGCGACAGAGGGCCCGACTCCGGCTGGCTGCGATTGCCCGGATTCTGATTGATGTCGGCATACAGCTGAGCGCACTCATCAGTCTCCATCCAAACGCTGTCGACGTTCGCACAGGGGCTGCAGCTGAGATCCTCGACCTGAAAGAACGGATTGCCCATTAGGCAAGACTCGTCGTACAGTTCGGTTAGCCGCGGAAATCGTTGGATTAGCGGCATTGTCATTCGACGCCACATTCGCATGCCGGGATAGACCAGTGATTGGACCATCCGTCCGTTGTGGCCGCCATGCGATGAGGTCGTCTCGTATCGATACGCCACGACACAAAGCGATATCAAGGTCAGGTAGAAGAGCCAACAGAGGATTTTGCGCCGACGGTCGAGAAAATGATGGAGCACCTCCAGCCGCAGGTATGCCACGAGGGGCGTGGATGTATTGTAAAGGGGCTGGGAGCTGCGCTGCTGGAAATACTGAAAGATCACATAGTTATCGAAACTGAGCGGACGGACGCCATAGTTGACATCGGCAAGGCGGCGTAGCTGGCGCACTGCGCTAGTATATCGCTGCAGCAGCTGCTGCCGACTCAGCTGCACAAAGTTAAAGTCCAAATCAATATCGAAGTCTTCCATGTTGTGGCTATGCTTTAGTTGTTGTTATTGCAGCTGCTGCGACGCGGCCGTCGCTTCCTTTTGTTGACGGCAAAAAAAGTTGACCTATTGAGTATGTGTGTATGTGAGTGTGTCTTTTCTAATGACTTCACTTGCTTCGCTTTAATTTTTTATGATACATATATATTTATATTTCTGTTTTTTTGTTTTTTTTTTTTTTAATATTTTATGAGCAGTCTTTTATTTATGTTTTTTCTGCTTTTGTTGTTGTTCTTGCTTCTTGTTTATCTTGGCTTGGTAGTTTTTCTAGTATTTGGCGGTTTTCAAGTTTGGCCACTCTTTTAGCGTGTTTCCACATTGATCCACACAGTAATAAATAAGCAATTTTTAATAATAAAAAAAATAAATGCCTGCTTATATTCATTATGGTTAGTGTTATATTGAACCAGTTAAACTTTATTTTCATTTTAGTTTGTCATTTTGAATACATCAACTACATTTTAAAATGATTGATAAATTAAAAAAAAAAAAAAAAGGAAATTTGAAACTATGAAATTTTGAAGCTATATCAATATGTGTGTTTTTTTTTATGTAGCCCCATTATGAGTTAGTGTAATTAATGTTTTTATTCTTCATTCTGTTTTGAAGAAAATTGTAAAAATGACATTTTGAAGTCAATGCGAATTTAATTTTTCGTTTTCCGAAACTTTGGTCACACTTAATTCTGATATTTATGTTATTTAAATCTGGTCATACGGCCTCAGTTGTTTGATAATCGCGTAGCAGTGCGGAGCCGTTGCAAAAGTAATTACCGCAGTTTTTGCCAACTTTTTTTTATATTATTCTAATTGTGAGCTTATTTGTTGTTGTTTTTAAGCAATCATTTTCGGTATGCAAAAAGTTTATAAAAAGTGACACAAGAGTCGTGCACTCTTACAACAATTGTGTATGCCTTGTGTGTGTGCATGCAATTGTGTGTACATATATGAGTGGGCAACTCCACAAGTGTGTGCGTGAAATCAAAATAAAACCACAGCAGCGCAGCGAACACTGTCGCACCCTGATGGAAATATTTTATAGAATTTCTAATTGAAATGACATGAAATATATGAATTGAAAGGCATCAAGTGCTAGAGTGTGCGTGAAATAATGTGAATGAAGTTATATTACGTAAGAAAATGTCTAAATGTTGACTGCATTCTTGGTCAAAGCGAAGTCTTCATGTTGATGATTTCATTGACGATGACGAAGACTACGCGGCCAACGCACACACATACTCACACACATACACATGGCAATAAATATGCTTGCGCGCACACATGTTTGTATTTGTGCTTGTATGCGTGCTATTTGCTGTGTTCCAAATGAATATCCTCCACTTCAACCGCTGGAGTCGAAGAACGAAGTGAGCCATAAATTCTATGGCGGGGTGGCAACACTTGAAAAGCTGACGATCAAACGTCAAACTGATTACAGTTAGCTCGTGAACAGAAGTCGCAGCAGTAGCGCCCCCTATCGCAGCCGTGTGTACAAGGAGTTGCAGATCCAATTGGTGCGCTCTGTTATGTGTGTGTATTTATGTATGCATGCATGTTTGCGTAGCTGTGTTTATCTCTGCTTTTGGGCTAGTGTGTGAGGAACTTGTACGCCCACATTATGTAGCGCAGATGTTGTTGCCGTTGCCTGATCGCCCGCCCGGCTGCCTGCCTACTGGCGAATGGTTGCGGTGGGCGAGCGACTGAGCGAGGCCAAAAACCAAGATATATACATTTATATATCTATACGTGTGTGTTGACTTATGTTGTGGGCGCCCAAATTCAGCTCTATGCTCTTATTTATATGCAAATTACTGCATCTGATCCCACTCCATCCAGCTGTTTATATTTAGATATCAAACCATCTGCATAGCTACCCTCTTTTTTGTTTTCAATTAAATGCATGATTAACACAACTCTCAAGTCTCCAATCTCCAGTGTCAAGTTTTGCAAGGCGATTGATTATTCATTCGTGCCCGGAAGACGTCAGCGCAGTCGCGCTGCATGACTCAAGTTGTCTCCGAAACGAAAGGCACAAGCGTGCGTTAAGACAAACATACATATGTATGTACATACATATATGCAGTCCATAGTTAAGCATATTTGCTGTAGAGGGAGTTCTCTCGCACAATAAAATGAGGCGTCTTTGTCCTGTCCAGAGGGCGCCTTCTTTGTTTACGTTTTGGTATATATAAGCTGTGCCAAGAGCACAAGAACAGTAATTAACGCTCGTATCTAGCGGCCGCCATTACCCTTTCTATCTCTCGCTCGCTCTCTCGCTCTCACTGTCAGTTTATTGCAATTTAACTGTATTTCCAGCTGTGTGAAACGTGCAATTATTGGTATTTTCTTATTTGGCCCTTATTCAAGAATACCTTGCGTTAGCAGGCATGTGTTTTTTCTCGTATGTAAGCGAGCGTTTGTGTGTGTGTGGTGCGTGCGTATTTTTGTTTGTTTGTTTTGTTACACACATACGGGGTAGCAGCAGTAGCAGCAGCAGCCAAAAGCGTAGAGGATGAGTCATATCCAATTTGATTTTCGATTCGTTCGTTTCGTACGAATCGACGCTGATTGTACAGCGAAGACAACAGCAACAACAAGAGTGAGAAATATATTGAAAGATGAGGCAAAACGGGGCTAGGCAAGGTAATGGCAAAATTGAGCAAATGTTTGCTGTCGTTGCCCTTACGAAAGCTGTCCGAACATAAACACGAACACACTCATACACAAACATACATATGTATGTATATGCATATACATATAAATTAATAAATCTATTTTTGACAAATAAAAAAAAAACGCTCACATAACTTGTTTTACAGCGTATTAGGATAGGCATTCTTATAAGAATTAGTAGTTCCAATACGAACTAGCTAAACTTGTTGCGGTTGCTTGAAATCGAATCCAATTGGTTCACGAATCGATTCCGTAACCTCAGCCATCAGCTATAGAATTGATGAGTAATGTTTTGTATCCAAAGCTTTCTGTATATAGATAGATGTATTTAGCAACTCCCATTCATGTAGTCTCCATTGAATCCATTGCAGCCGCTGCACCTGAAACTTTCGCACACCTTCCAACGGCTAGAGCGAAAGAGAGCTAGAAGATACACGGCTAGAGAGAGAGAGAGAGAGAGAGAGCAAAAGACAACAACAGGAAACGCACACCGCAAGAGGACTCAAACAGCAAAACTCATGATGCAACAGCAGGAGAAGCTGTTGCTGGTGGCGCTGTGCATTATGGCCAGCACGCTTACAACACTGGCACTGGGAGAACAAACGCTGGCAGCAGCAGCGGCGCAGCAATCGCCGGCTAAGCTAGAGCAGAATCCGTGCACGAACAAGGACACGTGCCACGAGTGTATTCAGACACAGAACTGTGGATGGTGCATGAAGCCAGATTATGGAGATCGGTCGCGTTGCTTTTTGCACACACCGAAGGCGGAGATCTGTCCGGAGGAGTACATTTGGAATCCCGATACATCCGAGCGCATCTTGATCAACAAGGATCTGACATTGGCCAGCGGTGGTGCCGCTTGGGCGGGCGGTCAATATGCTTCGGGTGTTGGCTACGAGAGCAGCGCCCACGGCCAGAGCTCGGCATCGGGCTCGTATAGTGCCTCCAGTTCCAGTTCCAGCTACGGTTCCAGCTCCAGCTCCGGGTCCAGCTCCGGTTATAGTGCCAGCTCCAGCTCAGGCGGCTACGGCGCAGCGGTCAGTGGTGCAGCAGCAGCTGGTGAAATTGTGCAGATAAAGCCACAACGCGTTAGCCTCAAGCTCCGCATTAGTAAGTGATCGATGAATGAATTGCTTCAAATGTAACAATAACACTTTACATTTTTCTTGTAGATGAGGTTCACAATCTGGATGTTAGCTACTCACAGGCCGTCGACTATCCCGTTGATCTCTACTATTTGATGGATCTGTCCAAGTCCATGGAGGACGACAAAGAGAAACTCTCGGCCTTGGGCGATAAATTGTCCGAGACAATGAAACGCATTACATCCAACTTCCGTTTGGGCTTCGGCTCATTTGTGGACAAGGTGCTGATGCCCTATGTATCCACCATACCCAAAAAGTGAGTATTGGGCCAGTTCATAATCTTTATCAGTCAATAATGAATATAAGCTAGATAAGCAGTTAAGGTAGGATTATGACTGTTATAGAATTTCTGGCGAAACGAACGAATGAGACGTCCACTGAAACCATTTTTGCTGATTTAATTAGATAAGTTCGCTTAGTCACGATTTACCAGAAATTGCATATTGCTGAAATCAATATTTAGTATATGTACATGATGAATAGAGTTATATTTATGTATTAGTGTACGATACGTTAATGAGCAGCTTTACTTGATCAAAATTTCAAAATTGATTCATTTGGAAACTGAAAAACCTCATGATTTCTAACAAAATTCACTTCTATCATTGGCTTACTCAAATTTAGTTGCAATTGAAATAATGTTAATTATATTTTGTATACTCCAGCAGAAGTATAGAGAGTAGAAAGTATTTTTCTATATGGGAGAGAGAGAGAGAGAGAAAGAGATGCCTCCCTAGTTCTAGCAGGGTTTACTAAGAAATAAGGTTTATTTAAGCAGCATTGAAATACCTTACGATTTTGTGGTCCAGTCCCTGGCTATATTTATATACCTTATGTGTATTACTATAACCCTCGCTCTATCTCCCTCTCTGTTGACATTACTAAGAACTTCGCTTCAGGAACAAAGTTTTTCTAGTATTATTATCCGAGCTTATAACTCTCATAGCAAATGGCCTAGCTAAGATATTAGGTATTAGTCTAGTTTAAGGCTACGATATAAATCTCTTTAGATAAATAAATAATAAATAGATTGAAAATCCATTAGCTCTGCTGGGGTATTCTGAAACATTTCGGCTCTACCGGAAATAACAGCGCTCATTATTAGTATTATTTGATACTTGTAAATTTTTGCTCTATATATTTATGTAGTTTTTCAATGACTAATTCAAAACAAATCCAATTTTTACCTAATTTTTATTTTTATGCCAAACCACAAAAAAAAAAAAAAAAAAAAAACTAACGCCAAAAACAAACCAAATAATCAATGATTTAATGATTAAACAACAACACCATCAATCAACGACAACTGCTCGATAACATCTATGTACATATATATTGATATTCCCATATATATCCTATATAGACTCGAGCATCCATGCGATAACTGCAAGGCGCCGTATGGTTACCGCAATCACATGCCACTGAGCAATAACACCGAAAGCTTCTCTGTAAGAGCCTTGAAAATCTTATGAATAATACTTTTTTATATACATTCACTATGCACCCACTACACACTCATGCACACATACATACATGCATATATAGTACTCTGTAACATATAACATATAATACTTGCTCTCCATTTCCCACTGTTGCCTAACTCTATATATCGTATCGTATCGTATCGTATCGTGTCGTATTATATGGTATTGCCTCGTATATACATAGTTAATGTTTAGCTCTAGTACATACATATTTATTCATATACATATATATCTATATATCTATAAACCTAAGCTTTACCTGGTACTACATATCTGTATAATTCTATGTTCTATGTTTCTGTGTAAGTTGTAAGCTCAAAATGCAAGAAAAGGCCAAATTGTTTGGTGGCGCAACCAACTTAACACACGTTGTAGTTACATTGACCAGTGCTGCCATATCGTTGCATTTTTGCCTTTTGCTGCTTGCTTTGGGATTCCAGTCACAATTGAATGTGATTTACATCTATTGCACTCTGCTATATATGTTCTATATGAATCGAAACTGTGCTACAGTACATATTTAATTTAAATAATTTGATTTGATTTTATTTTATTACATTTATTTTCTGTCTTTTGCGTTTCTTTATTATACTCATCAACAAATTTGCTC